TGTTCTTGCTTCTTCTTTGCTCTTTAACCAGGCTGGCTTTCTGTCGTGCCCCACGTAGCCCTTTCCTCAGAGGATGAAGTTCTCCTGTTCCAATTTTAAGAACGGTTCAAAATCCTGACAAACCAGAAAAACCTCTGGTTTCAATAAAGGGGGAATAGTTGTAGCTCAGAGTTGAACTGTAGGGTCCTTGGTGCTCTCTGAGCTGGGCTGGTTTCATGAAGACGTTTCGTGACCCAGCTAGGTAATAGTATCAGGGTAGAAGGGAGTGGGGTTTGCAGGGAGGAGGAGGAGGAGGAGGAGGAGGAAGAAGAAGAAGAATGTGGGTTTTATAAAGCGGCACTTCACGTGATCTTGATTCTGTGATTTGTTAATCTCTTGACTCGCTTTGTGACTTACTTCCAACAGCGATGTTAGCCTTTTCTTAATATGGTTTTTAATAATGTTTCCAAGTGAAGTGCAGGAAAACATGCTTAGAAGGGCAAAGATATAAACCTATAAAACTATTCTTCTTCAGCCCTTCTATTTTAGATGAAGCCAGTCCTTTCAGATTTTGGAATTCATGGTCTAATAGCATCGATATGTTGCACTGCACCGTGAAATATTAAAATAAAATAAAACAAGTTGTGAGGTTGCAGTATTTGAAGAGCTATCTAGTCTTGCTTAATGTCATGCCCCTGTTGGAGTCTGACTCCAAGGGAGAGATGGAACAGCTGACAGGGAGTGGGGTGTGGCTCCGGTGGTTGTGTAGGAAACTGGAAGGGCACAAGCCAGATGGGAATTCAGAGGAAGATCCAGGCCCATCCCCTCTTCATCCTAGGGCACACAGGGAGGAGTGGATAAGGGAGAAACATGAGTGGCATGGTCTACAGGGGAGGAAGGGGCCCTGATCCCCTTCATGGGCTGCAGCTGGGAGGACTGGTTAAAAGGACAAACTGCGCGTGGCAAAGGTGCTGGAAGCAAAGCGCGTATTATTCTTGTTGGAGCTTATCTGTGTTTTGGCTTCCTCCCAACTGTGGTTGCTGCTATTATCTGGTAGAAGTCTGCAATTAATCAACCTTGCCTGCTGTAGTAATTCCTTCAGTGTGGTTTGTATTGGTTTTTTTTTATTTTGAATTAACTTTACTTTGGGTCTGAACTGCATTTATTCCCTCCGTAAACTGTTTTCTTTAAGAGTTTGATATCCTGCCGAGGATAATTGGACATTGGGGCCCAGTTGGAGGCATTAAATGGATTTTCTTCTATTTTTGTGAGTTGGTTATTTTTGTGTCACACCCCGGGTCATCACACTTAGGAACATGCATATAGATCTTCTGATTATCACCAGCATAGGAGCAGATCAAAAAAAGAAAGGCTATTTAAGACCAAGAATGACAAAACATTACTTTGTACTTGCTATTTTTACAATTTCCTCCTGGGTAATATTTTTTTTCCCCTTCCTCCAATACAACTGCCTGTTTCTGAGTTCTTTTGTGGAGCATGGAATGCAAATTCTGTTGATCATGCAAACAACCCTAATAAAATCCCTCTCATTTCCCGGTTTAGCATCCCCGCATAAGGCAGTTCCAGGATGCTTCAGACCATAAACTTCAATAAAAGCAGGTGAACTCTAATACAGTGGGTAAATTGTAGTCTAAGCAGAGAGATTTGAAATAATTTATAGATATATAGTTAGATATAAATATGGAGAAACAGATATAGATATAGATGATATAGATAATCGACATAATAATTCAGAGGGTAAATCGTAGAGTCTAAGCAGAGAGGTTGGATATGGATACATAAACATTAGCTAATACAGGGAGTAAATCACAGAGTTTAAGCATAGAGACTTGGTAGGTTTGATAGATAGATAGATAGATAGATAGATAGATAGATAGATAGATAGATAGATAGATAAAAGCGAAATATCACTCACGCATCATCATAAAATCTCCAGAACTGTAAAGCTCACAAACTTGAAATTTGGCACTTATGTTCCTCTTGGCTTCTAGGTGCTCACTAAGAAAGGATTTTTGAAGTAACCATCAGAGCATTAGCATTTTGGATATTATTATTAACACACTCTGAAGTTAAGGAGTTCTACTCCCCCCTCCCCACTTGAAAAGAAATATGTTCTAAATGCAAAACACAAGCAGAAGAGAGGAGTTTCCGTTTCAGTTTTAGTTTCACAGCAGCAACCATCTACAGAACAGTTGAGCTAAGCCACGCCCAGGCTCCTTGCTGTCTCCTTGCTCACACAGCAAATACTGTTTCGGTTTCCAAACAGCCCTCAACTCTCTCACACACTGACAGGACGCTAACCAGATGAATCCCGATGGAGCTAGTAAGCAGAGGCAGATTTTTTTTCCCCTTATTTTCCTCCCCAAAAACTAAGCCCGACCACATAAGTTTTGTAGCTAAGCATGGGTATCGAGCTAGTAGATAGACATAGATGATATAGATATAATAAAACAGAAGGTAAATTATAGAGTCTAAGGCTCTAAGCAGAGAGGTTGATTATGGACATATAAATATTAGATAATATAGAGTGTAAATCGCAGAGTCTAAGCATAGAGACTTCATAGTTTATAATATAGATATATATACATATAGATATAAATGATATAGATATAATAAAATAGAGAGTAAATCATAGTCTAAACAGAGAGTTGATATAGCTTATAGATATATAGTTAGATGCAGATACAGATATACAGATTATATAGGCATAGGTAAAGGTATAGGTATAGATATAGATATAATTCAGAGGGTAAATCATAGAGTCTTAAGCAGACAGGTTGGATGTGGACATATAAATATTAGGTAACACAGAGAGTAAAGCACAGAGTCTAACCATAGAGACTTGGTACAGATTATAGATATAGATAGAAATGGGCCAAATTCACTTAACCAACATTTCACTTAGCAACAACACAAATGTTGGGCGCATATGTGGTCCTAACTCCAGGACTACCTATCAAGCCTTGCTCGATCCTTTTGTGTGCTTTCCTGTTCCAAATCGTATTTCCAAAACAAGATGGGGAAAAATATATATATATATATGGGACAAGTTTTTTTCCTCTGCAACTCCACTTCCCGTTTGACCAGTTCTGGAGGGGAATTGACAAAGGCCTTCACAGGATTGAAGGTGGCAAGAGAGGAAAAACATGTTGACAAAATGAATCAAAGCAGCCCGGGGAGTTGTGGTGTGTGTGTCCACGGTTGCAGGCTAGAGGTGAAACTACAATTCTTCTGACATCAGCCCACCTAAAAAAAGAAAACTAGTTGGACAGGTAAGCAGCCCCAGAGTAGATTTGCCATCCAACTGGCTCAGTACTGCCTTTTCCAGTCGTCTCTGTGGGGAGTACAGGTTTCCCACCAAGGTAAACAGTCACCCGAGTCAGGATAAACTACATGCCATACATTACATCTGGAAGCAGCATAGCTTAAGACAGATTGCTAGCAAGGAAGAGCTTTTGAACGCTGCGGTGTTTTGGAAATTCATTTGGATTTTTTTTTTTCTGTCATGCACAAATATCTAACCGAGGTCCTTTAGATCCGGGGTCACCAACCTTTTGGACCTCAGGGACCACCAAATTTTAAATCCCGTAGACCAGAGACCCTGGGAAAATCCCTCCAAAAGTCTGCAGGAAAATTCCTCACTCCGTTTTCCTACCGATCGATCATTCTTTATTTGGGATCACAGGATACTGTCTTCAGCTCCGTTCTCAGGGGGGGAGAGAGAGAGAGAGACAGACTTTTGGCTTCATGCAAGAAAACCAGCAGAAGCAACAGAAGTCTTTCTTTCTTTCTTTCTCTTCCCCCAAACTCCGCCAGAAATGAGTCTTTGTGAGACTTGTCTTGCCAGCTCAGCCTCTTGGAGCAGGAGGCCTTGCAGGGTCCCAAAGACTCATTTCTGGCGGAGAGAAAGAAAGACTTTTGCTGCTTTCCTTCCTTTCCTGAAGGGATTCACTTAGCGGTGGGGGCCAGAAACGTTGTAAAATGGGCCAAAATTCACTTAGTATGTGTTTCACTTAGCAACGGACATGTTGCGCACAATTGTGGTTGTACGTCGACCTTTTTTTTACATTATTTTTGACCTGATTGACCAAAGCTAATGGACATTACGAACATAAATATCTGGAGAGCACCAGATTGTCTCACCTCTAAGAGCAGGTTTCAGATAAGATCAGTGGGTCAAAAGTGAACTTCAGGCAAAGCTATTGAAGGAAGCAACTCTAGAAATATGCTGGCTGAAAATAGTTAACATACTTCCTAGGTCCCGTGAATGTTGTAGTTCTTCTGGGTTTATCAGGAAATCTCAAAAGAATATTGTCCTCCAAGAATTCCTTGAACGGTAAATGCTGGGGGTGTAGACTATTTGTTCTGTCTTTCTCAAAGGAAAATCCTAGTCTTCAGTATGTACAGATTATACAGAGTTGGAAGGGACCTTATAGGTCATCAAGTCCAACCCCCTACCCAAGCAGAAGGCCCTACACCATTTCTGACAGATGGCAGTCCAGTCTCTTCTGGAAAGCTTCCAATGATGAAACTCCCACAACTTCTGAAGGCAACTTCTGTTCCATGGGTTGATTGTTCTCACTGTCAGAAAGTTTCTCCTTATTTCCAGGTTGAATCTCTCCTTGTTCAGTTTCCATCCATTGTTCCTTGTCTGGTCTTCGGGTGCCTTGGAAAATAGCTTGACCCCCCCCTCCTCTCTGTGACAGCCCCTCAAATACTGGAAGACCATTATCATGTCTCCCCTGATTCTTCTCTTCCCTAGACTAGCCAGGTCCAGTTCCTGCAACCGTTCATCGTATGTTTTAGCCTCCAGTCCCCTCATCATCCTGGTTGCTCTTCTCTGCACTTTTTCTAGAGCCTCAACATCTTTTTTATAGTGTGGGGACCAAAACTGGATGCAGTACTCTAGGTGTGGTCTTACTAAGGCTTTATAGAGTGGTATTAGTACCTCCCCTGATCTCGATTTGTCTCCTAACCAGCTTTCATAACCATCATTTCAGATGCCCGTGAGGTTAAAATCATGGTCCTGGAACTCCCTGTGATTTGTTGGTAAGTAGGCTAATGGAAAATATTTATTTTCATGTCTCCATCTGTCTCAAGAACCTCTTGTAACCAGGGGTGGGATTCAAATTTTGTAACAACCAGTTCTGTGGATGTGGCAAGATGGGTGTGGCTAGGTGGGCCTGGCCATGGGACTGGGTGGGCATGGCTTCTTTTTTGCAGCACACACACACACACCTATTTTGTGGCCACCTGCACCTCAGGGGAGCCTCCTGGAGGGCACCTTTTTTGCTCCCAGGAAGGCAAAAAATGGAGGGGGGCAGGGGGAGTTGTACCCCCCGCTCCATTTTTTGCCTTCCTGAAGCCTCCTGGGTGAAGCAGTAAGTCAGCGAGGGGAATCCCAGCACAGCTGATCATAGGAACAGCTGATCGTCAGGAGGGGGGGAAAGAAATACCTTAAGGAGTGACTGGCGGGGAAGAACGCAGTCAGCAATGTCGGGCATGCGTGCGATGTTGCACATGCGCGATAAGGACTGACTGGGAGGGGAGGGGCAGGTGGAAAGGGGCGGGGCCAGCCAGGGGCATGATTTGCTGGTTCTCCGAACTGCACAGAATCATAACAACCAGTTCTATAGAACCAGTCCAAACCAGTAGAATCCCATCCTTGCTTGTAACTTATAAGATATAAACAATATGCCAAAATGTTCTTTTTTCCATCCCTTATAAAGGCACGTAGCCTTTGACTTAATGACCACGATTGAGCCCAATATTTTTGTTGTTAGGTGAGATATTTGTTGGGGTGACTTTTCCCCTGTTTTCTCGCCGCTGTTGTTTGACACCCCCTCCCTTTCTTTGTGGCAGCCCCTCCAATATTGGAGCACTGTTATCCTGGAATGGAAAATAGAATAGAAAACAGAATAGAACAATCATCATCTTGCAACAACTCCATAATCCCTTGCAGGGTTAGAGCCTGGGCAACTGAATGGAGCTAGCAGAGTGTTTAAGGGCCGGATGCCCTTCCTGTTACCAATGCAGAGCTTTGTTCAGCAGATATATTCTCATTGTGCCCAGAGAGAGAAACCTCTGCCTATACTTAGGGCTAGGGCTAGGGCTAGGCCACCAAACCACTCAGAAAATGGAATGGAATAGGAATAGGAGTAGAATGGAATGGAATGGAATGGAATGGAATAGAATAGAATAGAATAGAATAGAATAGAATAGAATAGAATAGAATAGAATAGAATAG